TTGGCTCGATGCACGGTTGTAGACGATACACCCAGCTTATTTGCGGCATCTCGGAGAGAGAGGTTAGGGTTTCGCTTGAAACTACCGGCAACTCTCTTTGTCGTCTCAGCGGCTTCCGGTTTTCGATTTCCCCCCGATCCAGACTTCCTGGCTGTCGACAAACGTTCCCCAAACACTTTAATTACATTTGTAACGGTTGATTTGGCAACTTTTAGCGATTTTGCCAACTTTGCGTGCGAGTAGCTCGGATTTTCGCGATGCGCGAGCAAAATTTTGATACGCTGCTCTTCTTGCTTGGACGACATTTTGACAACTGAAGAGTGAATTCCAAAATCAAAATAGGAGCAACATTCTACACACACACACACCTTCAAAATGAGGGGTGTTCAGGTTTTTTAAATGCAAAATTGAAAGAAATACGTCAAGTTGATATTGACCAAATTTTGACCGTATCACCCTTTATGCATTAATTCTATTCTGTTTTAGCTTAGTTTTTATTTGCTGCTTGGACATAGTGATGTCAATAGTTCCGCAATGCAAATTATATAGGCGCATCATTCGATTGATTGGGCTATTTTTTGCATAGTTTGTTCTGTACGATGTTTCTGAAAATAAATTCCGTGTTCTAAGATATCGACAAGGTGTGTAAAAATTTAATTGTGCGAGAATTTCTGCCGAATCTATGCGCATTGAAATAATGTCGTTGATGAAGAAAAGCATTGCAAATTGGCGGCGCTCCTTAAGTGTTTGTATATTGATGAGCATGCAGCGCGCTTCATAAGATGGTAATGGAAATGCAGTCCAATTCAATTTACGTAAAGCATATAAAAGGAATTGTTTTTGGACAGATTCTATGCGTTCTTCGTGTATGGAAATGTATGGATTCCATACTAGGTGGCAGTATTCCAGAATTGGCCTTACATATGTGGTATATAAAAGCTTAATAGTGTATGGGTCTTCGAAATTATGACTGAACCTTTTGATGAAGCCTAGCATTCTGTTTGCTTTACTAATGATAGTATTATAATGTTCTATAAAAAGTTAGTTTGGAGTCTAGGATTACACCTAGATCTCTTACAATTTTGCTTTTTTCTACTATTTGGTTGCTAAATTGCTATTGCAGTACATTTTTTTACGTTCAGTTGAAGTAGACTTTTACTACACCAGGTGTGGAATATATTGATTTCATTCTGGAATTCTTCTGCATCGCTAGAATTACTTATTTCCATAAAGAGCTTCATGTCGTCTGCATATACAAGCAATTTTATTTTTTTAAGTATGTAGGAAATGTCGTTTATGTACAAAATAAAAAGAAGTGGGCCGAAATGAGAACCCTGGGGTACCCCAGAGGTGACTGAAATTGGTTCTGAAAGTTTATTTTGAAAGCGAACTATTTGTTTACGATGTGTTAGGTATGATTGAAGCCAATTCAAAAGTCCAGGCTCCATTCCTATTTTCTGCAAGTTGAGGATTAATAATGGTATGTCGATGCGGTCAAATGTTTTACTGAAGTCGGTGTATAGCGCTTCAACGTGCTTGCCACTGTCCAACGCTTTAATAATGAAAGATACATATTCTAGAAGATTAGAGGTAGTTGAGCGACCTTTAAAAAAGCCGTGCTGTTTACTTGTAATTAGATTTTTTACCTGCTGAAAAATATTGCCGTTTACGATTGATTCAAAAAGTTTTGGAATGCAAGAAATAATAGCAATTCCACCATAATTTCGAATGCCTGATTTTGCACCTGATTTGAAAATAGGTACCAAATAAGATGATTTCCAAATTTCAGGGAATTTTCCATTTTTCAGAGACATGTTGAAAAGCTCTAGAGGAAATGCGAGTTCTTCAGAAAGGTTTTTCAAAAATATGGGTGCGATGCCGTCAGGCTCAGACCCTTTCGACGCGTTTAAGTTTTTTAGTGCATTGAGGACTTTATGTTGAGAAAGTTGGTTGACAGAGATGTTTTTAGAAATTTCAGGAATGAATGCAAAGAAATCGCGGTCCCGATCTTCTTCGGAAAATGTGGTGTATACTTCTTGGAAGAAATTTGCAAAGAGATTGCAAATTTCAGAAGAATTCTCACCTACATTTGCATCCAAATTCATTCGCGAAGGAAAATTGCTGCTTTTTATTTCGTGTTTACATAATTAAAAAAGTTCTTAGGACATGATTTGACTTCATTTTCGACTTGAACCATGCGGGTTGTTTATTGTTTTGTGTTCAAAACAAATTCGATTCGTTCGTTGCTAACTCTACTGCACTGTTCAAATGGCCACGTTTTGGGCTATTAGCGTTTGAATCAGCAAATATATCTAATTCTGCAACTGAGCGGTCACGTTTGCGACTCACCCATGATGCTTGTGTTTAGGCCATTCGTTGATGTTCTTTCCAATATCATTTCAATCTGGCGCTTCTGACTTTGACCTGGAGAATTGAAAGCATCCTTGTGTACGTTTTTCAGATGTGCCACACCGTTCGACATCTTCCAGTGTCCTAATCTTTCCTTGTATGTATTTGAATTTTGTTTTGGCATGCAGAAAACACATTGAATTTTCGAAATCCGGATGCCATCTTCGTTACACACTGTAACGCGGAGTTTGCTTACAGCTTCGAGTAGCACAACCTGTTCCGAAGATCCAGGGAATCTGTATGACAATGCCTTGTTCTGTATCATGATATTCTATTCTGTTATATATTACAAACCTCTTCGGATAATATTCTGTTATTTTGTTGCACAGGTCCTCTTCATCTACGCTGGATTCAGCACCATTTTCGACAGTGTTTTGTCTCATGGCCACGGGTTTTGTTTCGTTCGTTTGAAATAATGTTAAAATCCTTGACGCTTTGCGCAACTGCCATCCGTTTTAGAATAGCTCGCTTTCCAGCCAGAAACCGAAACTCGGCAGGGTTGTTTCCGAACTTTGCAAAGCATTTTTGAAGATTCGGTGGAGCGGTTGAGAAAGAAACCCGACGCATGTTTGACTCAATTTCAGCGGTTGGATTAACTCCTGCTTTCACGTATTCCGTATACTCGAGAATGGTTCTTACACCTTCATGTACCATTCCGGTATCTTTGCTCAACGCTGTCCAGAATTCGTCCTTATAAGCCAACAGACCGAAAATATGATTTTTCTCTTGTATCGTCATTGAAATTAATTACTTGGGGCTCATCTTGATACTGCATGGGAGCCGTTTTGGGGGTTTGAGACGATTCCTTCTTCCCCGCATAATAAGATTCTGATTTCACTTGTTACTTACCATGATCGCTTGAGAATCAACAAATTATTACACTTATTCGAATTCATAGCACTTATTTCCACATATTCATGGATTTGAATCCGATTGAAAAGAAACAAAATTTTTTTTTCACTGAGCGTTGACTAAAATGGCTACTTTTAGTTGGCTTTTCCCTACTCTTATTTCGATGTTCTTCTGTCGTTCCGTTCCATCCCGCATAAGCGCGAACCATAAATTGACCTTACCTAAAATGGTTAAAATTGTTTATAATCCCTGCTAAACTTCAACTGAAATGGTTATGGAACTTTACATGAACGTTTAATGATAAAGTTTTAACCTTAAGTATTATAGTTTTTTGGAAGTGGGCCTTACAAATAATGGGTTGTTAAGAACCATTACCATTCAAAATTCTTGTTTTCTCCATACATTTTCGGAAAGAAAACTATACTAAAACCTTTTAACTTATGGTTTGAGAACATTAATGGTAATGGTTATGGTAACCAGTAAGGTCCATGAATGGTTTTGTAACATCGATCAACTTTATGTGGAATATATCGCGAATTGGTTGCCTGTAAATTACTGATTACCAATTCACGATATATTTCACGTAAAGTTGAGCGATAATACAAAACCATTAATGGACCTTACTGACTACCATAACCATAACCATTAATGTTCTCAAACCATAAGTAAAAACGTTCTAATATAGTTCTCTTTCCGAAAATGTATGGAGAAAACAAGAATTTGGAATGGTAATGGTTTTTAACAACCCATTATTTGTAAGGTCCGCTTCCAAAAAACCATAATACATAAGGTTGAAACTTTATCATTAAACGTTCATGTAAAGTTCCATAACCATTTCAGTTGAAGTTTAGCAGGGATTATAAACAATTTATAACCATTTTAGGTAAGGTCATGTGATGGTTCGCGTTTATGCGGGATTTCAATCGCACGCATCCCCATGACAATTTAATGCACCCTCGCATCCAATCCACTCCCATCTATTTTTTTTATCCTTTCTCTATTTTGGTCAAGACGACACACTCAAAAATATACGCAAACATGGTAAAGTAAAATGCATCGAAATGAGTGTCGTTCCCAGAATAAAAACTATATTTGACAAATGAAGCATTGCCAAATATTTGATTTAATTGTCAAATGAATTAATACTACATTTAAATGTTGTTCATTCTGTCAAATTGTTAATCCCAACATAGTTTACTATTTTTTGAGTAGCTTCACGTTTTACCGATATCGGTAGATCCTGCTCAAATTTGGTTAGTGTTGAAGTAGCGTGTATGGAAATGGAGTATTAAAATACGCCCTTTCACAAAACTTAACATTGCGCGCTGACGGTGACAGTTGACAGTGACAGTTTAATTTTATGCGCAAAAATAACAAACAAAAAAATATGTTCGGCCGCAACAAGAGGAAGAAGCAGAAAATCGAAACAAAACTCCCCTCCGTTCGGACGACCCTGTGTGCGTGTGTGGCTGTGGTTGTTCCCCAGGTGATCGGTGCGCTCGGCTCAGTCCGTCCGTCCGCACTCATAGCACAGCGCTAACAAACGAACAGAGACAGAAATAGAAGCAGCTGCTGACCGACGACGCCGACGGCGGCTGCCTTGCCGCTTTGCCATGCTATAGAAAAAGAAGAACAGGTGCAATTGCGCGAATGAGATGGGGCATTTCGTTCGTTTTGGTCGTTCGTCGTTATCGCGTTCTAGTCGGCAGCCGCCGCCGGGACTCGGGAGGGAGAACAAAAACATTCGTACCCGAGGCAGCATCGGAGGCGGACGGCTTCTTCTCCTGCTCCCGAGTGTTTTGTGTGAAGTTCTAGCTCTGCTGGCTGACTGACTGATTGGTGTGTGAAAACAAAAAAATCAGTTTTATTTTCGCTCTTGTGTGGCTGCATAGAAGAAATTCTTTTCTGATAAGCTCGGAAAAGGTATAAAAGGATATTTTCCTTTCATTTTCGGTGCGCGTCGCGTGTGTGTATGTGTGAGAGGAGGAATCTGAAGACGAATTCCGGAATTCATCCGTCGAGGGCGCGTCTGGTCTCAAATTGAAAAAAAAAGAAGGATTTTCCCAGTGCGAAGTTGCAACAGAAGTGCGTCTGTGTTTATTGTCGCCGCCGTCGTTGTCGTTTGCGTCGGAACTTTGTGTGAAAAAATTCTAGTGGTGCAGGAGCAGCAAAGCGCAGATCCGTCATCAATCTGTCGTTTTCAGTCCGAATCGGATCACGGAAGTCGTCCGGACCCTTCTAGTGCGTCGAAGAGTGTCAGTGGAAAGTGCGTCAAGAAAAATTTTCCCCATCGGGAAAAAGGCTAGAGAAAGAGAACGAGGTGCTCTGGTCAGTTCAGCAGTGTTGCTGCAGAGCATATCTGCAGACGGAAAATTTGGTTGGATAACGCGATAGCGTCAGCCCAGCCAACAGTGTGTGTGGAGCGCCGCGCCGAAGGTAGGATAGGAAGGAACAAGGACGAACGCCGGACGAAATGGGGTTCTAAAATTGCTTTTCGCTTTCGAGTTGGTTGGATCCATCTTTTTCCTCTGCCGTTCCTCTGTCTGTCCGCTGGTGATTCCCCCTCCCCCCAGGTTTCGTCCGTCTCGGTGCTTATCGATTCTAAATGGGATAACTGAGGGAGACAGGAAATAGATCAGCTTTATTTACACTTTACCAAGAGCAAGCACTGCTAGTGTTGTGCGATTTTCGGGGCTGGTGAACTTGCGTCTTGGATGTGATGATGCCAGGCAGAACAAAAAAAAAAAACAAATCTCAAAGGATATGTCGGTCCATATCTGCATCGAAAACGATGCAAATGTCGAAAAATGCTACAACGCGGCGGCTGGAAACTGGAAGAGACATGAATGGTGGTTCATTATCCTGAATCTCTAATGGTGAGGCAAATTAGCATCGACGAGGGACGAGTAACAGCATCATTGCGTCGAAAACGATGCTCATCTACTATGTCGAAAAAGTTGTGTGATTTTACTGATTGGCTCGAAGCTGATAGGACACTAGGATTAGAATTGAGACCACCGAGTCGACCGCATTAATAACGTAGCACTATGAGATTATTCTTGTTGCTCCATTAAATCCGGCTTTCAATACAGGGCCCAAAAGCATTGTAATTTCCAAATCAACAACTTCAATTTACATTTTCGAAATTTGAAGACATTCAACATTCTATGAGGCAGATTAAATTTTCTAAATCCATTACATTTTCCGTTGCACTAAAACAAAAACCGCTTATTTTTCCAGTGGGAAATGCTCAATATTCAGTTGCAAACATATACACTATATACGTTCGTTAGATGAACTGTATTTCACATATCAAACCGGTTGTCTATCTGAAAGGGAAGGAAGTTGGTCACTTTTTAAAAGCTGATCACTTGAAAATCACCACAGTCAATTTTTCTCGTTGAAATGATTACTTTAGCCACTTTTTTTTAACGAATGTAAAATAAATTTTAGTGGTTCAATTTGGTATTGCTAACATATCGTAATGTTTGGAAACGTTCAATCCATTTAACAACGTTCATGATTTTAATTTTAATGCATTTTGCCGTTTTTGTTCAATGTTTGACAGTGGTGAATCGAGAGAAAAATATACAGGTAGATAATCGTTACAATTTAGGAGCAATGGAATATTACTCACCTTTCACAGTAACGAATCTCACCCGATCCATTAATGCAATTCAGTCAGTCTACGCTTAAATGTTGCCACAGTAGAGTTGAAGTCGAAGAGGATGTAGACTTCGTTGAACCTAGCCGAAATGAAGCGGAGAGGATCATGAAGATTGTACAAGGAGTTCCAGGGCTCGCTCAAGCAGCAAAAAGTTTCGTTGGCGAAGCAATCGTCCAGGAACGTAAAGGTTAAGTGAGAATTTTAGCAACAAACACCGCTTGGGCATCATTCCGTCTCTGTTCAAGCGTCTGCAGTCCCAATAATATGCATCGATCTCCATATTGTGGTAAGTTCAACGGATCTCACCACGGAAGTCGTCGTAGCATAGAGGTAACTCTAAGACCAGAAGGTCCCGATGAAACGAGCTCATCTTTTTGGCTCAGCTCTGGTAGTATCTTCGGTCCCAAGCTAATCGATGAACCCCTCGAAACATAGGAAAATCCACTAACCCCTCATTTTATCTGTCAAACTTTCATAGCGAATCAAAACAAACATAGTGTAGTACTAGAATTTAGACTAGAATGGGGTACGTTAATCGATTTGCTTGGGATCAATAGGCTAGTCAAGTAGTGAGCCATTTTAAAATCGTTAGTTTCGTATTGCTTGTTGGTCGTAGGGCATATCTCACAAATTTTCTCTGAATTGCTTCGATCCTACCAGTTCATGTTGACTGGTACGGGCACCATACTACAGATTTGGATTCCAGAATCGATCGCACCAGCGCGCAGTACAGAGAGGATCGGTAAATTCGTAGGATATTATGAACATAAATCCCAGCTGTCGGTTGGCTCTGCAGATAATACCGTTGTAGTCAGTGGCGTAGCGTCCACATGTGCAACCTGTGCACGGCACATATGTAAATAATTTTTAAAAATGCGTTTAGATTTTTATAGATTTTATGGTCACATTATAGCTGTACTTCTTTACTCCAGACCACAAGTGACCATGAATACACTATTTTATGGTGTGGTTCAATTAAATCTTCGACCTCGGTTTGCTTCAAAAAGTATTAAATTCAGTTTCGATGGTTTGCCTAATACCTAATGCATTGATTTCTAAGCATGTCGCTAACATTACCACGACAAAACTCGTTAAATAAATAATGCACCTAAAAGCGAGCTTTTTTGGGTGGCGGGTGGCAAGTTTGTGAATGGTCAAATGCCTGATGTAAGCCAAGCATCACCTCTTGAAACATACCCCAAATTTTCCACAATACATGGCGGTTTGCACCATTGAAGCTTTCAGCAGTCACGCATCAAACGGGAGCAACACGGAAACAGCAATTTGATACGCTTTGGACGTTATCACACTTGCAGACTGGTTTGAATGTGTGATTTTAAATTAGAAGAACATTTGTGATGGATGGGTACCTAAAGCGTGCATTTCTCGCTGTGCACTTGGATATCTGATTGCAGAAAAAGAGAGTAATGGAGAAAGTGAGCGCAAAAGCTCGCTCTCACTCTCTTGTCAGTTGTGAATCTCTCAATTACCGATAGTTGCGCCGGTGCGCCTGTCAAAACTTATGAGCTTCCCCTGGTTCATTCTGATAGTGTTGTTCTGACGAATAAAGAGGTGATTAATTCAAGTTTGCTACCCAGGGGACTATGCATTTTCTCTAGATTTTGGCACTGTTTTGTATCAAAAAAAAATTTCGGAAGTGTTTGACGGATATTCTTTATTACACTTCAGTCGAAAGAGTTAGCCTTTTGTTAAAAACGAGAATTCAAGCTGAACATTGCATTAGGTCCTAAGTAACATTGACAGATTCTCTCCGTTGACTTCCTCTTTGTATCTCCACGGCCATGTAAAGACATTCCCAGATATTTTCAGCACACATATCGATAAAAGAAGCTTTTATCTAGCATCTAATACGAAAAACACAACAAGAAATGGTTATGTGCTCAAGTTATTAACGAAAGAGAAAGTCGATGAAGAGAATCGATCAATATTACTTAGGACCTAATGCAATGTTGAGCTTGAATTAGTTAAGTTTTGCAATTCCTCCTACTTCGGTTAACGCGAAAAGGGCCATACAAGTTTTGTTTACACAAGATGATAGGCCCTTCAAATGTTACGTTAGGAAGTGATTAATATAGTAATTGACAGTGGCGTTTCCTTAACCTCAATCTACCTGTGCACCAACTCTCAAAACTTAAACAATTATCAAAATATTGCTTGCAATGGATGGATATTGCGTAAGCTAGAAGATTTAGTGTATTTTTCAACCGATTCGAGTATGAATATGGCATTAAAGCTGGTTTTGAAAGTTGGTGCACCGGTAAAACGTGAGGTTACGGAACGCCACTGGTTGTAGTGCTATCGACAGGTCAGTGCTGAATCGAGGATGAAGCCAAGATCACGAACTTGAAGAACACGCTCAAGCTGTTGACCATTAATTGAATAATCGTACGTAATTGGGTTAAGCTTCCGATGAAACGATATAATGTTACATTTGTGGATACTCAACGTCAGCTTGTTCCGGGTGCACCACACGCTTATTCAGATCAACTCAAAATTGAGTCGAATGTGCTCATATCAGCGGCAGGTATGGCTACTCAAAAGTGAGTAGCCTTATGTTGACTCACTTTTGAGTAAACGGTGATTACACGGAGATCTGAGTTACATTTACTCACTGTCAAATGAATGAGCTTTTGAGTCAGTTTTACTCAATTTTATCAATGTGATTAAATTAGTGCGGCATGATTTTAAATACTTTCAATTAATGTTGTAGAGAAAACAAAATATCTTAAGTTATTTATTTATTCATGTTATAGCATAAATGACATGTGTTCATAACAAGTATGTAATCTAGTTCTAGTTCTAGTTAATCTAGTTCAGCTTGTATTGCCTCGGCAATGAATCCGCACACGTTATTAACTGCTTTTCGACCGCTATGTTCCATGGTTTTGTAAACCAGGATGTTAAACACATCGTGCAACATCTGAATTCGGGTTGGCACCTTGATCCCAAACACACTGAAGCATTTGAGATACAGATCAAAAATGCGACGAATTGACGGATCCTGCCTCACGAATAATGGACGGTAGGCAATCATCTTCACCAGTACGTGCGATATTCTCTACGATATTCTGAAAACAATATGAATGATGTTGAAAAATAACTAACTTTAAATTAAATATTACAATGTATACCGTTGACCACTGCATCAATGGGGCTGCCAGTACATGCTCAGCATTGGAAAAACCATTGCCTTGAGGTGCGTATCGGCTACCTATTCCTTTTCGGTGCAATCTTGCGAAGATCCTCAAAATTCCTCGAAGATGAACTACAATTAAAGAACATTTTATAATCAGAACAAGTGAAACATATAGTAATATAAGAGGTCTTGACGTAGGAATTAATTAATATTGGTATATTGGTTTTCGAATTCAATAACGTACTATCCTCCACTCCATTGAAAAGGTGTGAGGTGAGCAGCAGCCCTTTGGAGATCACCGGAGTGAAATCGAGATTTTGTCCTACATTAGGGTTGAGACGATAGAACGCTTGATGAATCTAAAAATTGAGAAGAAAAAGTTTTGTGATAAGTCTTGTCACTGAACTTGATTTAAAGTATACAACTACCATTGCACCTCCATAAGATCGAAGATGTGGCAGTGTTTCTAGAATTCCGATGACGCAAGTGCTTTCCTTATGGAGCAGCGCGAGGATTGGGTGGCACTCAAGCATAACTCGCTCAATTCTTACTTTGTTAGCCAGATCTGGAATAAGATCAATCACGCTTTGGGATAACTCAATGAGCGATGTT